CTTCTTGTTGAAACCTTCTGTAAAAAGGACTGCTACTTGATCGCCGTTTCTGCGAGTTTAGCTTTCATTAGCAAATGTTTAACGCGGTATAACTCTTTTATGACGGTTTTCACTTCCGAGGTAGGGGCGACGCGGCAAGTAGGTCAGACGCGAAATATACATTTTCGCATTATTGTACGTTGACTACAAATTGGTAACGGTCTTCTGGTATAAAAACGGATTTTCGTATATCGTGTGACACATTTAAGTGGAAACACGTTCGACATTTATAGGATACATATATATTTTATACGCGAAGAAACGTTTTATGTGATGTCCCGGAATCGCCGAGAAGCAGATTATTATATAAGTTAAAAATTTGAGATTGATTTTCTCAAAAGCGTCGAAAGCGCATCTTTTTGTCTTTTGACATTTGTGATCATAATGGATAAATGTCAACGTTCTTCTGAGCATCGAACGCGCATCATTATTCAGCCAAGCTTAAATATCGCGAAGAAGCACTTTATTTGCAAAACCTATAACTCGAAAGGCATTAGCACCGAGTATACTTTCGCTGACAAAGATCAACCGGAAATTTCATGAGAGACGAATGCTTACGTGTCCATGATTCCGTCGATTCTAGGGCACCTTGTGCAAAACGCTGTGTCAAGCGAAGTTGAGAAACGGCGTGAAACGGAACGACAAACGCTGTGTGAAACACTGACGTGGCGTTCGCATAATAGTCTCCTTTTTTGTTTATTGTGTCTCAATAATCACACATAGAAGATCGGCGCTGTGGCATGCTCCATCCCCCTTCTTCATGGATGTACTTTCTCCGCGAACGTGCAAACGTAATCCTTCGATTATAAAAAAAATATCGCCGACTCGGTTTCGTTTGTCTGTGTTCCTTCCAATCCCACACGATAGATTTTCACTATTTATCGCTATAAGATTCGTTGCACATGGAACAGATAAAGCCGATAACACTTTGTTCAACTGGCTCTATAAAAAGATCTTTTAATTGTTAAAAATGTACGTATATATATATATATATATTCGAAAAGAAAGAAGAAATCAATTTAAGAGATAATTTTGTTATACCAGAAGGTTTGCGGGTTATCGCCGTGTCTTTCTTCATTCTTGATGATAAATTTTGTATTCCAGGAAGGATACACATCAAAGGAGAAAACGTGATTTATTCGTGTATGCGAATTTATTTTTTTTGTCGGATTTTTTTCTTTGTAGCTGTTTAAATTTCAAAAGCACAGTTTTACTTCTAGAGTTAAATAGTGTCAAAAGTGTATAATTGAAATTCTATTAACATGATAATACACGAGTAGCCTCGCGGCATTCATTGGAAGAATAACTGACCTAATCTAATCTGATCTAATCTAATCGAACACTGGCAACGTGATAAATAATTTTCGATGAAATTTTGACGAGAAGTTGTCAAGTCATCTTCTGTATGCAAAACGCATATTCATACACGGAGAAATACGATTTTGCTCGAGTATTTAAAAACTAGATATAAAACGCATTTAGCTTATACATGTTTTAATAGAGTGCATTGAGAAAAAATGCGTAGAAACTTGCACCTCATCTTCAATACGTGTAGAAACATTTCAAAATTAAATAATTTGATTAAAACATTCCGGATTAAACAATTACTTTTGCATCACAAAATTCATTAATGGCGCATCCGTCTCGAGAAAACGGAGTTTGATTACTTGTTGTTCGATACGAAGTATGGACAATAAAGTAACAATTGTATGATATGATGACCTATGATACCCTGACCTCTCCTATATATATGCGCGCTTACACACATTTTATTTTTCTGTTAGTATAATTCGTATTAAATATATTGGTGCGCGAATATAATATTAATTTTATTTTTTCATAATACAATTAACATAATATATAAAGTATATCTTTTATACATTATTAATATATAGATAAAAGATCTAAAAAGAAGTATAATATAATTTACTTTTTTGCATTTATTAACATGACGTTTAAAATAATATTATATATCTTACTAATTCATTCTTTCCTTACTTTTTTCTTTTTCTGTCTTTCTCTTTAAGTAAATTATAGGGAATACCTTAATAAACGAAGATCAGACTCTTGATCAATAAGTTCTAACATTCTATTTCCAGCTATACTTATCGAGGGATAAGTTTAACGATATCCCCTGAAATGACATCGCGTCTAGCATTATCGGATATTTACGAATAAATACGGATGATAAGAGCGACGCAAATAGTGAAAGTGCAAATGTATGCAATTACTTTCTTTCGTGAAAAATGCGTCTTATGCGCATTTATGTGTCGCGCGTAGAAAAAAGTTTCTGTCTAAAACTTGATTGATTAATCGTACTTTTAAATCGCGCTACGTTGGCAAACTTAATAACGATCGTGTAAATTTAGATCGTATAGTCAGCGTTATTTATTTATTTAGTTATATTTACGGATTGATCGTGTTTAGTTTCGTTTAATTTTGATTGGCGTATTTATGCCAAAAGAATTTTAGATCTTGTTTTCGCCGATATAATTAAAATTACTCGAAAAATATCTGTTTATCCGCGTATCACTTGAAATATGATTACTGGTGATTACGGTATTAACGAGAAAGACAAGATGCTCGGCACAAAACCGGGACGCGCGTAAACGATTTAATTTATAAGAGCCCCTCGTATATACGAGCGAGAGAGAATGGAGCGAGAGAGGTCAAGAACCCGGTACTTCTTCGCTCTACCTCAGACGCGTCCGCGATTCTAGTTTTGCAAATGTACGCTTAAGTTCACCTCAGACGATCTATAATTCATAGCAGGTTTTAGAATAGAATTGCAATTTTATTTTATATCTTCTTCTATTTCGATATGTATAATTTAATTACATTTTTCATACATGATTCTTGTTGTTCAAATATTTTTCGTAATTTTTATACATACAATTTTTAAATAAAACTCTTGAACACCTTTTATTCTGTGAAATTTTGTGAATAATTTACTTTTGTATATATATAATATGAAAAGTAATTCAATAATGAAATCAATTATAGATTATGTGTAATTTATTTTGAAATTGACAATAATCTATAGTTATAATGTTATACATATAAATTTTGTAAATAATAAGATTTTATGTACATATAATATAATAGGAAAAGCATTTCAATGATAAAGTTCACTTCACATGTTTTGTATTAAAAGCAAGGATAATAATTCATTTATAATTTTGTATGCTATATAATATGAGCAATGTTTAAAGTTTAAAGAATCGAAAATATATTTATCAAAATATAATTGTTGAATTCTGCTTTAAAATCTAACGCAAATTATAGAATTACGTATTGTTTATTTATTATCAGGTTATTCTCTACAAGACGACGTATACATTATTAAATTTTACTTGAAACTTTCATGGATTCCAAAATGTTATTTCTTCCGATTTTTTTTTATCATTGATATATATTTCTTCTGTTACTTAATAATTTATTGTGTAACGTCTCGATAATTCTAATTCGATAGTTAATCTGAGAAAATCTAAATAAGCCGTCAGATAAGTTTGTGAAATAATACGAATAGCGTATTCTGATTTTTACGAGTTATTTATATTATTATTATGTTAATATTGTTTCTCGAAAGATAAGAGAGATTAACGAAAATAATTTGCTCTTTGACAAGAAACCGATTATCGCATTTTTTCTTTCTTGAGGGAGACGATATGCGAATATAATTTAAAAACCTTGTAATTCCCAGTTTGTACGTATTTATTGATAACAATGCGTTTTCAGCATTAATTTGCGATTTTAGATGTTTTTCGCAACTTAGATATGTAAACATGATAGAAGTCTCACTGTTTTACATCATGTCTTTCAACATTTTAAGTTTCTTAATATCACGATAATATTAACGTTTTCCTGCTATTGTTCTCAATTGTTAACGTTATAAAATTACGAAAATGACAGTCGCGTCGTTGGCCGTTAGCTGTTAGTTTCCGAATACAAAACATTAAAAAACATTTTTTAAATCCTGACATATATTTGTTATAATTAATACGCGTTATTGAAGAGTCTCTATAAACTTTGATTTTTTAAGCTATTTTAAACAATTAATTTGAATTAAAAAATTAATTAAAGCATAAATATATTTATGTAGAGTATTAAATTTTATTTATAAATATATATTTTGAAAGAAAATAAGTAATATAACAAGATATATCTATTTATGAAAATGATTTAAAAAGTGTTATTTTCATATGTCGTTTTAAAATTTTATATGTTGAATATATAAACGCATATTTACTTTTATTGAATTTTTAAATATGCTAATTTTTTAAAAAGATGAATAAAATGATGAAACTTCTTTTCGTTTTAGATAATTTGTATTGAAAATGCTTTATGAAGTAATTATATTTTTTTAACCTTTTGAATTTAATTTTTAGTTATTTCTACATTACTTTCATCATGAAAATAATTACGATGTGATCAATTATAATGTCAAAGCATATTTCATTTATTGATTTTGAAATATGATTACTTGAATATGTTAGATCAATATGAAAATGTTAGATTCTCAAACGTTTTCAAAGTGTTACATGCTTTGCTACAACTCATCGATTTCGATGTATACAACGTGATTAATCGGGAAACAACAATGTGTGCATCGATACGATAATACACATTGTGCTCGGTGTGATATTTTTAGTCACGTTTATTTGCGCTCCGATTACGTAGCTGTACAATAAAAGCAAACGTCATTACATGCGCATGTATAAAAGATGTTAATAAAAGAATTTAGGCATAATATATTCCACGACAAAAACTACGTATGTAATAATTAAATGTCAATGATAAATTTGTTCTCGATTAATTTTAATTTATTAATGAAATAATTTTGTGAAAAAATATAATCACTTATATAAATAAGTATCATCCTGTAGATTATATTTCGATTTTTCGTAAAATAGCAAATTCAGATATTAAACGTTAATGTTATTTAAACGTTTTTGTTACAGTACCCGATGACGACCGTACTTTACGATCCCAGCTGCAAAAAGGAGCCATCTACGGGAGTGTCTACACAATATGGACAGGAGAAAGAAATCTGCATGAAACTGTTCGAAAGATGGAGCGAATCAGAACAAGTGCAGTTTGTCGAACAGCTGTTAGCACGAATGTGTCATTATCAGCACGGGCACATCAATGCGTATCTCAAACCGATGCTGCAGAGAAACTTTATTTCGCTTTTGCCGAGTGAGTAATCATACATGCACCTATGCTTTACGCCAACATCTTTTTAAGTACTCTGTGCGAGTTTTGAATGATAATTTCTAATTGCATCATTAACGATATGAATGATTTACAGAAAAAGGATTGGACCATGTGGCAGAAAGTATTCTTTCCTATCTTGACGCAAAGTCACTTGTTTCTGCAGAACTAGTATGCAAGGAATGGCATAGGGTTATTAGTGAAGGGATGCTGTGGAAGAAGCTGATTGAACGCAAAGTTCGAACAGATTCGGTTTGGAGAGGTTTGGCTGAAAGGAGAGGATGGTGAGTGAAAATTTATGATATATGTGTGTAAATTACAAAACTTGTGACAAACACAAATATGATACATACACACCAAATTTTTACATTTTAAACATGGAATGTACGTAAAATATTTCTGTACATTTTCTTATTTAATTTGTGAACTTTGCTTTCAGGATACAGTATCTTTTTAAACCAAAACCAGGCGAAGCCCATCCTAATCACAATTTCTACAGATCTCTTTACCCAAAAATTGTCAAAGACATCGAAAGTATAGAGAACAACTGGAGAATGGGTCGATTCAATCTTCAAAGAATCAACTGTCGCAGTGAGAACTCTAAAGGCGTTTATTGCCTACAATATGACGATCAGAAGATAGTTTCCGGACTCCGAGACAACACGATTAAAATCTGGGACAGAAATACTTTACAGTGTATCAAGGTGTTGACAGGCCACACGGGTTCTGTACTTTGTTTACAGTATGATGATAAAGCTATAATATCCGGTTCCTCGGACAGTACCGTGAGAGTTTGGGATGCTACTACAGGCGAGATGGTTAACACGTTAATTCATCATTGTGAGGCTGTGCTACATCTCAGATTTAACAATGGCATGATGGTAACTTGCTCAAAGGTCAGTTAAAGTGGAGAGATAAATCTTTACATGTTTTCTAATTTTTATTGGATTTCATTGCTAACAAGAATTATTATTTGCAGGATCGTTCTATAGCAGTCTGGGATATGACATCGCAGACAGAAATTGCGTTAAGAAGAGTATTAGTGGGACACAGAGCAGCAGTGAATGTAGTTGATTTTGACGAGAAGTATATTGTTTCTGCCAGTGGTGATAGGACTATCAAAGTATGGAACACCTCCAACTGCGAATTTGTGCGAACGTTAAACGGACATAAACGCGGCATAGCGTGTTTACAATATAGAGATCGCTTAGTAGTTAGTGGCAGTAGTGATAATACTATACGACTGTGGGACATCGAGTGCGGCGCTTGCTTACGTGTTTTAGAAGGGCATGAAGAATTAGTGAGATGTATTCGATTTGATAGTAAGCACATCGTCAGTGGTGCTTATGATGGGTATGTAAATTATAATCCAAATCTCGATTCTGATTTTAGTTCTATATTTGCAAAGTGAAATTATAACCTTGAAGTAACTAGAAAATTTATATATGTATATATGCAACACACAAAAATACACACACACACACATCCACACTTATTATATAATATTTTATTCTTATTTAGAAAAATAATAATAATTTTTACTTTTTTAGCATATTTTATTTTTAATATATATAAAGAACAACACATAATAATTTTATATTATAATTGATATTCGTATTAGATTTTAAACTGATAACTTAGTGTTGAATTGAAAGATGCAAATTTTGGTTCGAGAACACTTTATAATTAGACAAACCTATAAGTAATTAAACTCATATTTATTATTGTGTTTTTTTTTGCAGAAAAATCAAAGTTTGGGATCTTGTAGCCGCTCTTGATCCTCGTGCCGTTGCTAGTACTCTATGTTTACGCACGTTAGTGGTAAGATATTTTCGTACTCACTCGTTCTTATTTCTTATACATATTATATTTAATCAGCAATTTGTCAAGCGCTCCACTGAATGACAATCTTCATTCATTATTAATCTTATTTATATTTCTTATTATAGGAGCACACCGGACGTGTGTTTCGTCTTCAATTTGACGAGTTCCAAATAGTTTCATCATCTCACGATGATACGATACTAATTTGGGATTTTCTTAATTACAATCCGTCAAGTGGAAATGTTGTATGCAGTGTACGCCTGCCGATGGATGGAGCACCAAACCAAGCCGATACTAGATCTCCTTCCCGTAAGTATGCTATCAAAATTGGAATTTTTAATATATACTGAGAAAGATTTCTGGTTAAAAATGGATGAACCAGAAAATTTGATTATATCATTCAGTATTCTCAATAGGTCTGTTCTTTTTAGTTGAACTTGCACGGTTCATCTTTTCTCTTTTTCTCTCTAATGTGGAAGAAAGATAAACCGTGCAAAAACTTTAGCTAAAAAGAACAGATTTAATTAGAATTATAGATTTAATTAGAATTTTCTGATTAAATCTATAATTTTAATTAAGTCTATCTTTAACCAGAATACTAATTAATACAACTAGATTCTTTTTCCAGTGTGTATATTAGTTATTAAATATAAAAAATTATTCTTATTTGCAGCATTTGAGTGACGCATCAATACGGAGATTGCTTTATTGTGATATACTTGTAAGTATATTTTATGAATTATCCAATTATCACTTACAGGTAAGCTTTAGAAGCAATTTATTCAATATAAATACAATATAATAATTCTAATAAAAATATATAAAAAATAAATTGCGCGGAATTAATCGCAATTGTTTTTGTATTTCAGACAAGTGGTTAGTGAGTGAATCCAATGTGTTCACGACAATGTACGCAAACAATGAAATATCCGATGATGAGTGTTTAATGTAAACAACAGCAATTATACATAGAAATGTCTCAAGAAAAAATTTGGTTGATCAATGACTTTAATTTATTGTTTGCTAGGACAGCAAAAAATTCTTCAAGAAATGGGAAAGTAAAATGGACTGACTTTTACGTGAAACTATAAATTATAATTTATATATATGCGCTTGACGCACCGCGTTTAGGAACGTACAGTATATTTAAAGCTACATAAATACATCCCATGGATGTAAACGATTGTCGTCTGCTTTAGCCATATCTGGAATTCTTCTACGCTTTATGACATGTGTGTGTGATAGAAGTCAAGACCATTTTCCTACAAAAAAAAAGAAAGACTTACAATATGTAATGTAGCGAAGCGTTTTTAGGGAGGCTGGATATTACACTTAATAAGACATTAGATGTATCATAGTAAAAGGAGAATTAATGATTTTTTATATAATTAATTTATGAGATAAAAAATTGTAAAATGTTGTTTGATTGGAGTACTTACGTTGTGTGAATGTGTAAAAAAATTGTTACATGGGAAGATCATGTTGCATCTTTTTAATGGCTCGTACAAAGTGCTATGTACCCATGTTTAGAACTGCGAAAGAAACTATTAATTGTATAATAATTTTTTTAATATTTAAATTTTGTGAAACTTATTTAAGAAACGAGTGAAGAGCCAACAATCTCTGCACAACCTATATTTGGTACGATACCATTTGCATTTAGAAATTAAAAATTACTATTGCAGAATGTAAATATATTATTATCATTATTATATTCATACCGAAACAAATATAGCATGTGATCCTAAAATTATCTTAATTATTATAAAAGAAAAAGAAACTTTATTATTATATCTTGACCATTGATCTCGTTTAACTCATTTTATTCACGTATTGTACACAACATATATAAGTTGCTCATTTTTATATTTATCTAAATTGTCAATCAAAAATGTGATTTGATGTCTTTTCTCTTTTTCTAGAAGTTTAAATTTTTTACAATTTGGTATTTCACTGAAATTTTAAAAAATCCTCTTTAAATACAAATAAACGAGACTTATTACTTATTTGAATTTATGTATATAACTGAGCATATAGCATATGTAATTTAAATGATATCATCATAAAACGCCTAAATTATTGCGATATTATAAAACAGTTAATGCTTTGTGAACAGCATTTACTAATATGTATAATATATGTGATATATTATGGCCCGTATTCAGAACGCGCTTACAACGATGTTAGCGCTCTAACGTGCTATAGTTTACGCATACTATAGAATTTCAGAAATGAAAGCGCGCTTTTATCAATAATAAAAACGCGTTCTAAATACGGACATATATATATATATATATATATA